TTTGCAGGATGTAAGGAAGTCCTTTTTTAGTGTAAGAGTAGTCGATAATTGGAATTCGCTGAGCGAGGAGGTAGTTAATCTAACTCAATCCATAGTTTTAAGGATAAGTATGATAAGTATCACAAGTACAAAATAGAACCGATCAGGAGACGGGAAGTTACGAGCTTGGTGATCTTTCCCGTAAGCACAATTAGGTAATTATGTATGAATAAAAACTGTAACCTTCCCTTTGTTTAAACAATAGTTTCTTTTAACTTTTCTTAACCTTTAAAATGTGGGAGGCATTTCTGCCACACCCCTTTACTTTCGATGACGCTATTGGGCCTCATTGTAGAATATTCTTGCCCGCCTACCTTGTGGGTGACCAAAGCAGGGTGGAAGGAGGGGAGACGTGGCAACCCCTTATCCCCAAAGAGCTGAGAGGAGTGGTTGAGGTGTGTGTGTGCATCGTGGTGAATACGCGTTTCCTGTCTCGGCCACCCCCCTTACAAGGGGGAATGAGGCATATATATATATATATATATATATATATATATATATATATATATATATATATATATATATATATAAAATGTGTGTGTGTGCGCGTGCACGTACGTGTGTGTGTATGTGTGTGTGTATACAGAGAGAGAGAGTTCCACGATTCAGTTGTTATGTTATTGATTTAATATCCCTAGTATATAGGCAGCCAAGCATATTCCATCCAACCTGACTTCAATTCCGGCTTTTTGCTACAGGATATTGAAGATGCTTTTAAAAGAAAATAAGCAACCCTTACACACGCTTGCCCACACACATTCGAGTGCACTTGGAGAAAAATTATAAAATGTAAAAGTTATGCATTTTTAGCTTTACTCCCAGAACGTGAGTTCTTTGCATTCCTAGAAAATAGTATATATATATATATATATATATATATATATATATATATATATATATATATATATATATATATATATATATATATATATATATATATATATATATATATATATATATATATATATATATATGTATATATGTATATATATATATATATATATATATATATATATATATATATATATATATATATATATATATATATATATATATATATATATATATATATATATATATATATATATATATATATATATATATATATATATATTTATATATCTCCGTGACAGTAAATATGAAGGAATTACATGTCCCAATGTTTCCGTGATATAAATGTATATATAAATATTCGTTGTTGAATACTGTTATGCTAATATATATATATATATATATATATATATATATATATATATATATATATATATATATATATATATATATATATATATATATATATATATATATATATATATATATATATATATATATATATATATAATGACTGGTGTACTGAATTTTCATGTTTCATACCAAATTCCCAAGGCGAAGTAGTGAGTAACTAGTCTTCTTCACATTATATATATATATATATATATATATATATATATATATATATATATATATATATATATATATATAGTGTGTGTGTGTGTGTGTGTGTGTGTGTGTGTGTGTGTGTGTGTGTGTGTGTGTGTGTGTGTGTGTGTGTGTGATCTTGTATAAAGGATAAATTGTTTTCGCGAGTTAAATGAGAAAAAGAGAGCGTATAACAATATAAGTTCCAAGTAATTTTTTTTTACTATTCAATATAAATTCTTGAAAGAATGCTTCGATGGCTTCGCATTCATGAGGTCGAAAGATCGGTTCCCGTCCAAGACCGAGAGTTTAAGCTGTTTACTGGCAGGAACTGCTGTGGGTGGACACCACAGTGGGGGGTTGGGGCTTACCCTGGCTGACGAATACCCATTGTATTGAAATGGAAATAAAGTATTATTATTATTATTATTATTATTTTTATCTTGTATACTTTAGTCATAAAAAATGAGAGAGAGAGAGAGAGAGAGAGAAGAAAAAACAACGCAAATTTAGAGTATATCTTTTGTAATGTAGATAAAACCAGTGTTCGTATGTGAGGGAGTACATGCTTAATATAATATTGCAAATAAATCATGGTATGACAAAATCTTTGTGTAGCCCGTACAGGACTCGAACCTGTGACCACCGGTTAGTATAATTCATTCTACCGGCACTCTACCAACTGAGCTAACGGACACTGAAACGTACTGAGTGATGTTCTAATAGAAATCGTACCATTTTATGAATAGCTAATGTAATGTTCCGGTTTTACGTCGTGGATTCCCTTTTCTACCCAGGACTAGGACGGTTGCCTTCTTGCGAAGGACTTCTTTTGGCAGATGTAATTGTTAGCTTGGGTGCATGCCCTTGCTAACATCAGACCATGTTGGGGCGCAAACCCTCGATCCTCGAGCTGCCGCCTCAGAGTCTCGGACCCTACCACTTGTGCCACGGGGCTACCGGAATGGCTAATGTAATCTGTCCAGAAAATTATTTTTTTTAGCTATAGTTTTAAGGGTTTTATGGTTCTTGCTTCTTTAAATGTAGTCAGTGCCAATAATTACGTTGGTTTTAATACATGAAAACTGCAAGTAAATCCAAGCAATGGGGAGGTAAAGCCGGTCAGCTCAGGTGCCGGTCCCAAGATGTGATCACTGGAGGTTGTTATTGGAGAGGGCATACGGTTGTCAAGCTTTAAACGAAGACATGCACATTTGCAAGAGACTAGTTAAGAACAGCAACCCCCATTTGAATATGCGTCTGTGACCGCCGGTCAATATTCAGGAAGCGAATATATCGGTTCTCTACAAACTGAGTAAAAAGGCAATATAGCCTTTATATCCACTAATCGATAAAGTAATGCGCCATGTTAAATTTGGGTATAGTCTACCTTTAAAGTAATTAAAAGTAAGCATTTTCTATGATTATCCGTTTTCTATAACTAGTTAGTTCTGGTTTGAGTCTACTGTATAATACAAATAATTGTTGTTATATTTTCAGTTATCTTACTTCGCAGTTTAGTTTAGATAAAACGAAAGCGAATATATATTCTTGTACTGGTTTTATTTTCGGAGGGGGGAGCAATAATAATAGTAATATTCAAAAAGATAAAATAATAATAACATTAGTAACATTCGGAAAAAAAATGTTTGTCATTGTTGCTCGCTACATCAGAATGTGCGTAATAACCTTGTAATTACTTTTTGTGCTCACTGGAAAAGGCCCTATGCTCGTAACTTCCCTTCTCCAGGTCGGTTCCATTTTTGTACTCTGACACTTTTCATATTTGTCCTTAAAGCTATGAATTGAGTTAGCATTAACTATCTCCTCGCTTAGCGAATTCCAATCATCAATTACACTTACACTAAAAAAGTACTTCCTTACATCCTGCAAAGGAGTTTTCCTACGAAGCTTCAAACTATGCCTTGTAGTTCTAGTGCCAGCCATATCAAAATATCGATCCCTATCAACTCTGTCGAAATCTTGAAGGAATTTCAAAATCTTCACCCTATTCCCCCCCCCTCATTCTTCTAGCTCGAGTGATGGTAAGTCTAATTCCCTCATTTATTACTCGTTTGTAATATTGCCATGGATTCATACATTTCCTCCTCCAACACCTATTCCAGCATTTGTCTCTCCCTATCATTGCCCATGTACAGTCATTATACTAAACCATTTTTCTTTGCCATTAATATTCCTATTCAGGTAGATGGTCTGCAACTGCTAACTATCCTCTCATATTCATCCAAAATAGAAAATGTACACCTCCTATACAGGAATGTTGTTAATAATGGCTCCCTGTAAATCAATACAAGCAATATGAACATTAATCCTTTCGCATTGTCCTTTTGGGTAGTTCTTCCTCAATTCCTATCTTGTCCTCCTACTCTCAGATGGAACCTCCTAAATGATGTTCTGCAGACATTACACAGTAGTTACTTTTTCCAATTGATGGATCACACACAATTTCAACCATGTCCAAAACGTGTTCTGTAAATGCTAGCTCAAATGAGAAGTGATTGTTTATCTCCTATCCTGTCCCTTGTTGTTTCTAGTACATTGTTGATGCTAGAAATATCCTCGTAGACAATCTAGGAATCTTGCCCCAAAAGAATTCTCGTCTCTTTTAGCCAAAATTATTCCAGTTTATCTATTTTTTTTATTAATATCTCCATAATTACTAAACGACTTTTTCTCTTTGCAGTGTTTGCAACTGGATTTATCACTTCTAGTGTACCCATATTACTTTTCTCATATACCTCTAGCGTTTTTCGATAACTATGAGCATTATATACTAAAAGCTATAACAATGCTGTTTTGATACCTTATATACGCGGGTAACAATAAGTTTCCTTGCTTCTCTCTCTCTCTCTCTCTCTCTCTCTCTCTCTCTCTCTCTCTCTCTCTCTCTCTCTCTCTCTCTCTCTCTCTCTCTCTCTCTCTCTCTCTCTCTGTCTATCTATCTATCTATCTATCTATCTATCTGTCTGTCTGTCTGTCTGTCTGTCTGTCTGTCTGTCTGTCTGTCTGTCTATCTATCTATCTATCTATCTATCTATCTATCTATCTATCTATCTATCTATATATATATATATATATATATATATATATATATATATATATATATATATATATATATATATATATATATATATATATATATATATATATAATCTATGTGTGTGTATGTATGTACTTACTTGGTCGGTTTCAAATGTACTCATTAACACTTACCATATCTATCCTGAAGACTATGACTACATTTAGCATTTACTCTTATCTTGCTTAGCGAATTTCAGTTATCAAAATATTGTTACATTAAAAGAGTACTTGTGTGTAATTACCTATAGTGTATTTGCCTAATTGTGTTCACTGGAAAGAGCCTCATACTCGTAACTCTCCGTCTATTGATAGGGTTCATATCGTTGTTGACACTTTTGTGTGTAATAGCATTGCACTCTTTCAGCCAAAGGGAAGATGCTTCACTGAATTCACTTTTTTCTCTATGTAAAAATGTAAAATGTAAAAAAAAGAAAAAGACATGTAGCCCGAACAGGACTCGAACCAGCGACCTCCGTCGAGTTGATTCAATAACCGGCGCTCTACCAACTGAGCTAACGGACACTGGAGTCGATTGTGGATGCCAGACCTGAAATGATTCGATATTTCCTTTTCTGCGCTTTTTTTTTTTCTTTGATGTTCTCTCTTGAGGGTGAGTGGACCTTCCCTTGTGGCCCACAGGTGGGGTAAGATTTTGTTGATTGTAGTTGGTATTCGCCCTTGCGGGCGAATGGGCTTTCCTGTTTGGTGAGGAGGTGGGGTGAAATCTTGTTATTGTTGGTGGTATTCACTCTTGAGGGTGATCGGACTTTCCTATTTTGGCCCGCAGGTGAGGTTGTGCAAAACTGTTAAGATAATGGAAAACATAAGTGTTCAGTTGAGGATTATTAGTTTACATCAAACAATTTAAATGAATTCCTGTTTTGGAGGTGAGAGAGAGTTATTACATGATTATCTTGGTGGAGGGTATTGACTGATGATATTTAGTAGACTGTTCATGTAGTTGTTTGTTGCTAGTTTGATTATGGAGCTAGCAACATGAAGGGCATTTGGATCTTTGCTGGATGTTGCGGGGGCACCAGTTTTCCGTCGAATTTCTGAAAAGGAATCACATTCGAGGATGTAGTGGAGCAGTGGATGTGGTGAAGCTACCTGGCAAAAGGTGCATTCCCTGACAATATCATCCACTATTCGCCAGGTGCACTTGTACCCGAGTCTCAGACGGTACACATTGACCGCCGTGCTTCGTCGAAGGTTCTTAGCCAGGGTGATTCGCTGAAGATCAGTGGTGGATTTGTATCACCAGGTAGAGGGGGAGCCAATGTCTGTGTACAGGTTGTATTTAGTAATTAAGGCGTTAAGAAGTGACTTGGTGGCTTTATTTTTTATCTGTTGAATCCCAGGAGGCAGAGATATTTGGATTTTTGCTCTGAGAGTGGCTTGTTTGGCGGCTTGATCGGCTTCCTCATTTCCCTTGATGCCGACGTGGCTGGGAATCCAGGCAAGAGTGATGGCTTTTCCAAGGCTGGTCGTCCTGTGGTAGTAGCTGAGGATTGTGGTGATGATACGTACATTGTCTCTGAGGAGTAGCTTCTTGATGGCCTGTAAGGCGCCTTTAGAATCAGAGAGAATTAGGGCATGGTCAGCTCCTTGCTGGATGAAGAAATCGAGGGCATTGACTATGGCAACAAGCTCAGTCTGGAGCGATGAGCAGGAGTTTGACAGTCTCCAGGATAGGACGTGGTTTCCAGTGGTGAAGGCGGCGGCTGAGGCTCCAGTTTCTTGATTTACTGAACCGTCAGTGTAGTAGACTTGAGAGTTTGGCCTGCTCCAGCTCTGAATTTTGTCCTTGTATGTGTTTTTAAGGAAAAGCAGGTTTACCAAGCTTTTAGGGTTGTCAGGGAGCTCGATCTTTATGTCGAGTGGTTGGTCATTCCATGGGGGTGGGCATCAGTATTCAGGAAGCGGAGTGTCTTGTATCTTGGCTAGGATGCTCTCCCTGACTGGCAGTGCTTGCAGGCTAGCGCAGACCTTAGCTGCCCAGGTTCTAGGATGGTGGTTGGGGTGGCGATTGAGGGCTAGATGGAGATTTGTGCCAGCGAGGCATTTATGTTGGGCAGTGATGGTTTTCGCCCTTTCTGCGCTTATTTCACCATTTTCAGGTTTTATAATTACACTCACCTTAGTTATGGTAGCCGAGTGGTTAGAATACTTGTCTCGGGGCGTTGACAATTCCTCGGTGGACGTTGTCTCTCTGTTGTCCACCCTCGTAATTGTGACACATTAAACAGTGATTGACCTCTTTCAGAAGAACGAATCTGTAATCGTTTATCTATTTGACATCTTACTGATGTAAATAATTGTATCTTCATCTTCTGGTATGGTTAAGGTCTAGCATCCAACCCTAAGGGTGTCCCGCCTGATCTTATAGGACATGAGTAATATTCCATTTGATCGAATAATGGTTGTATATATTCGGTAGTTAGGAAAGGTTCTCAAGAAATTTATTGTAATATGAAGTTATTCCGCTCCCCCCCCCAACGGCTTGCTAGTTTATTTTATTTTTTTTTTACACAAGGACGGGTTAAACAAAAATAATCAAATAAATCTGCCCTCACTAGGCATGAAGAAAACATACAATAAAGAGTAACAGAGATGGGGAGTGTTGTGACTTGTAAGATGTGAAGGGATAATAAGAGATGTGTAACGAATATCCAAGTATATTCGGTGTTGCTGTAGGTATAGAAAAAGAACCGTAACTGAAGGAAGACTTAACATCAAACTGTCCGGACAGTCCTATTTAAGACCAAATTTCCTTCAGCTGCAGTATCACAACGGGCGGTGGTGCCATGGGCCAGCCTAGTACATGAAATATGTTTTTTAAATAGGATTTGTTAACATAGGTTAGGTTGTTATTTTATATATACGTCTTTTATACAAAGGCCCAATTATAGCAAGAGAATTATGGGAAATAACATAAAGATATACTGCGTCATAATATTAACTATGTAATAAGTCTTACAATATAAGTACAGAAATTAATATATATTTATAATTGTTATTACAAACGTAAAATCTGCTTATTACATCTATCCTGAATAATATGACGATAGAGCATACAAACTTGCGTAACAATAAACATATTGGCAGATTTGTCTTGGAAATGCATATAAATGGCAGAGTAAGGCTACGTACGCTTTCTTAGCAAATATAAGGGTAGTCTTCAGACACATGGACAAGGAAATGTTCAGAAATATTTATGTAACTTATATGAGGCCAAAGCTTGAATATGCAACCCCATTTTTGAGTCCGCACTTGAAGAAACATATATATGCTTGAAAAAGTTCAAAGACATGCTATGAAAATGGAGCCACAAACACGCAATCTCAGCTATGAAGAGAGGCTGAGGAAATTAGACTTACCATCACTCGAAGCTAAAAGAATAAGTGGGATATGAAGATCCTTTTTGAATTCCTTCATGGTTTTAACAGAGTGGATAGGAATCGATAATTTGATATGCCTGGCTCTAGAACTAGAGATCATAGTTTGAAGGTTCGTAAGAAAACTTCTTTGCAGGATATAAGGAAGTATATTTTTCTTTTTTTTTCTTTTTTTTTTAATGTCAAATGTACAATATTTACAATTGTTAAATGATTACAAAATTACATTGGAAAATTCTTTAGTTAATATATTCTGTATATTACTTGCATAACAAATATTCAAGAACCATTTCAAATAATTAAATTTACCTTTAATTAAACATAAAGTTTCCCATTCAGTCAAGTTCTGTGTACGACTAGTCCATACACAATATAGATAATTACAAATAAGCAGAACTGCAGTGTTCTCATCTCTTCTACTTCTTCCTTTAATATCTAACATTCATAATTTTAGCCAGTTATTATCTTGTACTGAACACATCAAATTAAATTTACTTTTAAACCAATGAAAAATATTTTTTGTTCTTATACAAAAATAGAATATATGCATTGTATATTCAGGTTCACCACAAAAGTCACAATTTCCATTATTCTTAATTCCTAACATTTCTAAATGTTTATTTGTGGGTAATTTTTCATGTAAATATTTAAATATAAATTCTCTCTCCCTTAAACCAACCATTGGATGATTAACATTTTTCCATATATTACTCCACTGTAGCAAAGGATAATCTTTCTCTACTAATGGCTGTGACTTAACAAATATAATAGAATATATGTCTTTACTTTTTATATGAGGAAATTTAGCATGTTTACACATTTTTCTTATGTTTTCCACTACACCAGAATAAAACATGGGACAGATACATCTGGATACTTATTTGTGTTTACTAAATAGCTTAGTCGTATGCTACAATAATAAATATTTAATAGTCTTCCTTCCAAAGTTTCTTTAAGGCTAGTAGCTGTAAGAATTGCAGCAGCTTTATTAAAAACATCTACTATACCAAGACCCCCTTCACTTTTAGGCAAAGGCAAGGTAGCTCTACGGATGGGATGATAGCTACCCCTCCAAAGATACCTGAATATTAAAACATTTACTTTTTGTGCAAATCTCTTGCTTAATGGAAGTGTATGGGCTACATACCATACTTTCGATAATAAAATACAATTCACAATTATTGCCTTCTGAAAAATTGTAAGATACCTTTGGGCAAGCATACTGATCCTTTTCTCTATTTTTTCTATTACTATATTACAATTCATTTCCATTGTCATCTTCTCGTCTTCACAATAAGAAATTCCCAATATTTTTAGATTATATTCTGTTTTAAGCCTACGAAGAGGCCAGTCATTTTTACCATGCCATTTCCCTATCCCAGTTATACTACTTTTATCTCTATTTAAAAGGGCACCACTTGCTTTTTCAAATATTTTTATTGAAAGCATACTTGATTAGAATTCGGTGAGCCAAGAGGTAGTTACCGCTAACTCAATAAATAGTTTTAAGGACATATATTATAAGTATCACTGAATATAAATAAGGAACCGACTAGAAGACGGGAAGTTACGAGCATATGGCTCTTTCCTATAAGCACTATTAAGTAATTGGTTATGATAGAGTGGATAGGGATGGATATTTTGATATGGCTGGCTCTAGAACTAGAGGTCATAGTTTGAAGCTTCGTAAGAAAACTTATTTGCAGGATGTAAGGAAATACTTTTTCATTGTAAGAGTAGTTGATAATTGGACTTCGCTAAGCGAGGAGGTAGTTAATGCTATCTCAATCCATAGTTTTAAGGACAGGTATGATAAGTATCACTAAGTATAAAATGGAACCGATCAGGAGACGGGAAGACACGAGCTTTGGGCTCTTTCCCGTAAACACAATTAGGTAATCACACACACACACACACACACACACACACACACACACACACACACACACACACACACACACACACACACACACACACACACACACACACACACACACACACAGAAAAGTGGCTAATGAAATTCAATACTTCAAAATGTAAGGTAATGAGAATGGGTACAAGTGCAAGAAGGCCCAAGCTTGACTACTCGGTGGCTGGAGTACAACTTCAAGAGACAGAAAATGAG